AAAAAAGCAAAAGTGACTTTGCCTGTGTGTGTGTGTGTGTGTGTGTGTGTGTGTGTGTGTGTGTGTTTGTATTCTCTCTCTCTCTTTCTCCCCTCCCTCCCTCCCACCCTCTTTCTCTCTCTGTGTTCCCAGATAAAAAGATCTATTCTAAGGTCGTTAATTTACTTACATAGAACCCAAAATGGAGATGGCAATGGAAAACCACTTCAATACTAGAGTGGCCATCTGTTTGAATATTTGCCCTTGTGAATCAAAGCAAGCAGTTGACTGTCTGGACTGTTTTTCCCCGTTTGTGGTACTCTAGAAACACAGCCTCAGGACTTTGGCAGAGAATAGAACCTGTGTGCATATGTGTGCATATGTGCGCACGCATGTGTAGAGTATGTATGAATAAGCACTGGTGAAACGGAAAATAAAATAGCAGCTGGTCCAAGTGCAAAGGTGTTTACAATTAATTGATCACTACCAGTTACAGATTTCTTTGTTCCTTCTCCACTCCCAATGTTTCTCTTGACTGTCCAAATAAATAAATAAATAAAATAAAATAAAATAAAATAGCAGAAGTGCCTAAGTGTGTGCTCTCTGCCAGGTGTTTTATTTTTATTTTTATTTTTTTTGAGTTGGAGTCTCACTCTGCCGCCCAGACTGGAGTGCAGTGACACACTTCTGGCCACCACAGCCTCGACCTGCTGGGTTCTGGCGATCCTTCCGCCTCAGCCCTCCAAGTAGCCAGAACTACAGGTGTGCGCTACCACATCCAGCTAATTTTTTATTTATTGTAGAGGTAAGGTCTCGCCAAGTGGCCCGGGTGGGTCTTGAACCCGTGGGCTCAGGCAATCCACTCCCCTTGGCCTCCCAGAGTGCTGGGATCACAGGCTGAGCCACCAAACCCAGCCAAGTGTTTTTATTTCATTTACCCCTTGTAATGAACCAAGGGAGCAGAGTATCATTAGCATTGCATGTGAGGAAACTGAGGTTAAGGCGGGTGAGAGAGTTTGTACCAAGTGAGAGAACTCATGTGGCTGACTCAGAAGGCTGAGCTCTCTTCACTCTGAGGATGGGAGGTGGGAGGAAAGAAAGGAAGAGAGCCAGTGGGAGTGGAAATATGGAGAGAAAGAGACCGAATACCCCTGGGACAGGGTCTAAAACATTCTGGGAAAACACATAATGAAGTCTGGGCCACGGTGTTAACTCTGCCTGTGCCTGAATGTACCCTGACTTGCAGACACCTTAAGGTCAGTAAGTGTGCTTTCTTCTTCTTGCCGGATGGAGGCCTCACCTGCCATGATGGCGGTTTGTCCCAGTGCTGATACTGGAGCCTGGTCTTCTCCATCTGGACCCAGTCTCCCACAGTGGTGGGGGGGAAAGCAGGACCTTGCTTAGGGACCGCTGCCCAGGTGGGAGGCAGGTCTCTCAGTTCTTGTCCTGTGCTAGGTCAGCTGTGGGAGAGTGCCCAGAACCCAGGGGTGAAGCAAGGCTGGAGTGGCTTCTTGGAAGGGCCAATTGCTCCCAGCAGCTTGGCTGCAGTCACCTGACACCACCTCCCTCATTTCCTCTGCATCTTTCTAGTGAGTGGCAGCAGGGACTCTTGGCTGCAGCCGGTTCTCCTTAACCAGTCACCAGGTGCTCAGGACGAGTCATCCAGATGGAGCTGTGATGATGTGGATTTCATCCTCATCACAGGGGACCTTGTGGGAGAGAAGCTCCCTTCCTCCCCCTCCAGCCCACATTCCTCTTCCCAGGGCAGCGCAGGGGCTACCACCTCCCTGGTCTTGAGAAGCTCTGCAGGACCTCCTTGCCTGAGCCCTCCTGGGTGAGGAGCCAAGTCAGGGTAAGCCTGTGCATATGAGGCCTCAATTTCAGATTAGATTCCCAAATTCAATTTCCTATTCCTTAATTTAATTCTGCATTTTAGTTTTGTTTTTATTATTTACATGGGTTCCCTTTAATGATTCCAAATTGCTGCTGCCCTCTAGCAGTATTTTGTCTTAGGTTAACTTCTTGAAAACCGATCAGCATTGGAGTTTATTCCGCACTGGGTTTAGTTATTTTCTGAAACGAAGCACAATTAAATTAGAATAATGAACATGCTCTTTAGAGGATTAATTCATAATAAGCAGGCCATGTGCTACAGCTCACAGAAGAAAGGGCACGAGGATCGAAAGCTGTTTTTCCTGCTTAAATATGAAAAGTACATTCTGCAGAGCAGAACAAATCAGCTAATGACATCCAGAGCGCTGGCCAGCCCCAGCGCGGCATGGAGCTGGCATCTCGAGTTAGCACAATCCCCACCAATGCCGCTCGCTGCCTACCTTACTGCCCCGAGAAGGTTGGCAATAGGCAGTGTGCTTGCCTTCTCCCCAGCGCAGCTAATAGAGGCCACCATGGGCCTCCTAGATCCTGCCACAGGGAGCCCCAGTGGCTTTCCAAGCTTTACCCTCAGAGTTTCCTAGAGCCCATTCATTCATTCATTCTTTCAACCAAGGAATGTTTCACTAGCTCTTGTTATATGTCAGGCATCCATGGGCCCACCCTTGGAATATATCAGTGAAGAAAACATACAAAGACCCCCACCCTGTTGGAGGTGACGTTTGAGTGGGTAAAGACAGAAAATAAATGGTGGACATAATAAGTAAATTATATATTATGTTAGAAGGTGATGAGTGCTAAGGAGTAAGGGGATTGAGAGTGGGATGTGTGGTGTGTGTGTGTGGTTTGCATTGTTAAATATGATGGGTTGGAGTAGGCTTGTGGGGAGGGTTTCAACCTAACAAAGACTCGAAGGAGGTGAGAACATAAGCCACTTTCCAGAGTGTTTCTGGGGTGAAGAGCGTTCCAGAAGAAACAACTCCAACAAAAGCCCTAAGATAGGAGCGCAGCTGGTGAGTTGAGGAAGGATGAGGTGAGTGGGAGGCTGGAAGGAGTGAGTGAGTGGGAGACAAGGGGTCTTGGTGAAGTGGGGCCTTGGCCTTTACACGGAAAGCCAGGGCAGGTTTTTGAGCAGAGACAGGACATGATCTGACCTTTTTAAAAAGATCTCTGTAGCCGGGTGTGGTAGCGCGCGACTGTAGTTCCAGCTACTTGGAAGGTTGAGGCGGATGGATCGCCGGAGCCCAGCAGGTTGAGGCTGCGGTGGCCGGGAGCGGCCATTGCACTCCAGTCTGGGTGACAGAGTGAGACTCCAACTCAAAAAAAAAAAAAAAAAAAAAAAAAATCTCTGGCTGCTGACACAGAATAGACTTGATGGGGGAGGTGGGATAGGGTGGGAGACCTGCCAGGAGGCAAACAGGGTAAACCTCTGAAACTCCAGCCCCAGATTTTCCCATACCATGTTCTCTCTGCCCCTCAAAGTGCTGAGCTCAGGTCTCATAGCCAGGCAGAGCTCAGGTCTCATAGCCAAGCATGGAGGCTTAGAGTCTCCTGTAATCCCCTACCTGCTAGAAAGACAAGAATAATGTTTATAAGCAGCCAGCGCTCATATGCTGTGAAGATGTCCAGACTATATTCTTTGCTTGGTCCTGGAGAGCCCTCAGCATTCCCTCCCAAACTCTCCCACTGACTCATGGACCAGAAGATCAGATTTTGCAATGGAGGGAAACCTGTAGGCAGGGGACAGCTTTGCAAGTTCCCTTTGGTTTCCTCAGGCACGTCCGAGACACCTCTCAGCTAGGTCACCAACAAGGTACACAAGAAGGCTTCTGTTGTGCAGCTGCCACAGAAACAGGGGACAGATCAAAGCAGGAGGGGAACAACATCTGCGGTAACCAGAGCAAAAATGAGGTACAAACAAATGGAATGGATAAATAAGCAGATGAATGATTGATGGGTGAGGGGATGAATGATTAATGAATAAATGAATGATTGATGCAGAAACAAATGCGTGGCCTGCAGCCTGACTCCTGCTCCCTGCTCGGGATATAGTCTCTCCTGAGAACCGAGGCTCTCACCCCTGGAATTTCTTGCTGGAGTTGGGATCACATCCGCGTTGGCACCCAGAGGTGGAGAAGGCTTTGGCTTAGGAGTGGGGGCCTGGGACTGCTGGGGAGAAGGGGTGGGAAGGGGGCG